AAATTTTTCTTAATTTAAATAAATTTTATTAAATTCAAGAATTTTTCTCTTGATTCAAGTTAATTTTTTTTAGTGCATACACTGATTAAAAAAATATTTTTATTCAAAAAAATTCTTTTTATACGAGCACGTGTATTCTTTAAAATTTTTTAGAAAATAATTTTGTTTGGACAGTAAATGTTTTTTTTTTTTTTTAAGTCTAATTAACGTGTTCATATTAAATCAAAGTATTTTAGAGAGTAATTTTTTTGAAGTGTTCTTTTCAAAAATAATTAAGTTGTTTCAATACAGAGGAAGCTTCTGAATCAATTTCGACAAGGTTGAGAATTAAAATATATTTTAAGAAACTAAATGATACTTTTGTATTGCTTGTTTTATTAGATTGCTATAGTACCTAGAATAGAGCAGACTAAAGAGTCACAATTATCATGAAGAAGATTAATTGATTAGAATATAATTATTTTTTTATTAAAGATTAAAATTATTTATAAATTCATTTTTTTAAGAGAAATTTTAAATCTTACTTTTTATAAAGTTAATATTATTAGTTAAAAAATATACGAAAAAATCAACTTGTTTTAAGAAAAAATATTCTGAAATAAAAACATTAACTAGAATTAAACAAAAAATTTTTCAAATAAGATATAATTAATTTAAATCAAAAAAAAAAATTTTATTCAATAATTGTCTGCTTAATTAAAGTAAATTTTTTTTTTTAATCAAGTAAATTTATTTTGAAACCCAAAAAAAAATTTGACCTGGGAAATTTTCCAGTCTTTCCCGAAAAATACATAAAAAAATTAAATTGTTTTCAGAAAAAATATTTTGAACTAAAAACATTAACTAAAATTAAACAAAAAATTTTTCAAATAAAATTGAATTAACTTAAACTAAAAAAAAAAAATTTTATTCAATAATTTTCTGCTTGATAAAGTCAATTTTTATTTTTTAATCAAGCAAATTCATTTTTAAACCCAAAAAAAAAAATGGCCCGGGAAATTTTTCAGTCTTTCCCAAAAATGCATAAAAAAAATTAAATTGTTTCCAGAAAAAATATTATGAGCTAAAAACATCAACTAGAATTAAATAAAAAATTTTTCAAATAAAATAAAATTAACTTAAATGGAAAGAAAAAAAATTTTATTCAATAATTTTTTACTTGATTAAAGTTAATTTTTTTTTTAATTTATTTTTAAACCCAAAAAAAAACTTGACCTGGGAAATTTTCCAGTATTTCCCAAAAATACATAAAAAAAATTAAATTATTTAAAGAAGAAATATTTTGAACTAAAAACTTTAACTAGAATTGAACAGAAAATTTTTCAAATAAAATAAAATAAACAAACTAAAAAAAAAAAAAATTTCTTATTCAATAATTTTCTTGAATCAAGTAAATTTATTTTCAAACCTAAAAAAAAACTTAACCCGAGAATTTTTCCACTACTTTCCAAAAAGTTGGTGTTATAACCACATCGACACTACATATATCTGTATATAATAAGATATTCTCTCGGGAGATCCTCGAGTCAGTAGTAAACTCTACGGCAACTCTAATAAACCGCTCGTCATCGTCTTGACGGGACGGAAACGTCATCTAGACACTTCCGTCTTGCTTTCTGCGACATCAAGACAAACTTTTAGCCATTTCTAACTATACTTAGCAAATGTATATAACCTAGACATTCATAACATCTAGCCGAGACTGTGAAGAGGGAGCAGGAGAGAGTTTGATCCTTCCCTTTGGTTAAAGAGTGTGTCGCGTCAAGACGAACCGGCGTACGTGTGTCATCCAGGATCCCGGGGATCAACGCCACTGATAGGCGACAGACACACTAGAACCAGAGAAAGCTCGTGGTGTACGAGTGCCAAGTTGATGCTCTCACGCGTAGCTTGATTCCCCATTATTATCATCATTATTATCACGCAGTAAGAGGCATCATCGATAAGCGTGTCTGCCGAACGACGTTTCCGAGGTGGCGAAGCCCACGGTCAATATTTACTCAACCGATGGCTATTGATCCATGTTGATCGTGATGATCACCGTCCCTGTCACCGCTGCCCCTGCTATCGGAATCCGATCAATGCCAAAGCGACCAAATGACCACTCGGTGTGTACCGAGGATTCGCCGTCCCTTTTCCATCTTCACAGCTTTTCTTCGCCTCTTATTCAACCTCCCTCTGGGAGAGAACCAGTCGAGAAAAGGGAACAAGAAATGAACCCGGGAACTAATTTTGCCGGACGGCGCTTTGATCGATGGAACGTTAATCATCAACTTCAGTTTCCAGATTGAGAGATTGAGTGTTGCTGTTATTATTATTATTATAGAGCCAGGCGACACTTAGATCTTTACTTTACTTCACGAGGTTGTGGCCCGAGTGTCTGCCTGGACCCTGGCCTCCAAAGGCTCGCTGAAAGCCTTTCTCGCTCGTTCATAATGTTATTATTGAAAATTTAATTTTATTATTGTGTTATGGGGTATATATGTTGTCGATGTGTGCATTCGTCCAGAGGCTGCAAGATGAGAGCTAGGTGATTAAGGCTTTTTGCAGTGGCTATTAGTGACCGCCTTTTTAAGCCCTTAAGGAGATGAGGATAGGCTAATTTTTAGTGGATTTTCTTTTTTTACAAAAATAAATATGGAAAATTTTTTTTTAAAACTATGAACATTTTTGTGACAATAAATTAATTTATTAAAAATGTTTTATTCTTATTATTATTATTTTCAAATTTTTTATAAAATATTTTTGATAATTTATTTGTTAAAAAAAATTTTTTTTTTAAATTAAATTTTATTATTATTGTTATTATTTTCAAATTTTTTATAATAATTTATTTGTTAATTTTTTTTTAATCATCAAAAAATCTGATTCAGATTATTATTATTTTTTATTTTTTATAAATTTTTCTGATAATTTATTTGTTAAAAAAATTTTTTTCAAAAAATCAAATTTTATTATTTTTTAATTTTATTGTTATTATTTTCAAATTTTTTATAATAATTTATTTGTTAAAAAATGTTTTTTTTTTAATTATCAGATAATCTGATTAAGATTATTATTATTGTTCTTTATTTTTTATAAATTTTTTTGATAATTTATTTGTTAAAAAAAAACTCTTGAAACTATTATTTTTATTTTTTGATGAAAAAAAAATTTTCTAGATTTAACAAATAAATTACTATGAGAAAAAAATTTCATTTTTTCAGTTTAGAAATAAACTTTTCTTTTTAATTTTTGAAAAATTTATTTATTGTTATAAACACGTCAATTATTTTTTTTTTTAATTTTGTTTTCTGTGTAATATTGGAAATTTTTGGAAATTCTTATTCTTGATATTATTATTATTATTATTATTATTGAATGGAAAAATTTATTTTTAAAGAATAGTTTTTCAGGAATGCATTTCTTCAATTAAATAGGAAAATTTATTGAAAGTCCTTTGACACAAACTCTCGATATTGAAGAATATATTTTTTACTTGCAATAAAATTATTCGTACTTTTATCGGCAATAAACTGATACATGGAAAAAATACTGCCTGTTAGTTTTTTATTGCTTCTATTTTGTAAGGATGTTATTTATATTACCTTCAAGGGAATAGACGAGAATATTTTTAATAAATTATTGTTTTTAGAAGCATAAAATTCAGTTTGATAGCGAACTACGCTGAGAAAATAATTTTGAATTTTTTAGTTAATTTGAAATAGGAATAAATAAATAAGAAATTTAATTTCTTTGTAATTTAAAAAGTGATTTGCTTTAGAATAAAAAAAGTTGTTAAAATTAATTATCAAATTTACAAAAAAAAATGTATCAGTAAATTGTAAGTTTGAAATATATTTACTAATTTTTATATAATTACATTTACATATATGGTTAAAAAATGAGCTTATTGTATTTTTAAAAAAAAATTTTAGTAAAATTACAAGATTAAAAATATAGAAATTTTGCTTAAATCTTGCAAAATCGTAAAAATTAATTCGCATAGTATTAAAATTTTATTAAAAATAGTCATAAATATATAAGTAATTTTCAATGCATAAAGATAAAATTTTTAATTTATTTAATAAGAATTTTAATGAAATTTAATAAATAAAAAGAATAACTTTTATTAAAATTTAATAAAAAATTCGCACTTAAAATTTTTTATAAAATTTTTCACCTGAAATTTTTTTACTAAGTTTTTTTTAAATAATTAAATTGTCATAAAAATTTTAAATCTTTGTTAATTTCAGTAAAATTTTTGTAAAAAAAAAATTGAATAAGATTTTCAGACCAAAGAAGACATCTGTTGACTGGCATGAGAAATTCTTCTCCAAAATATCGGTACTCGATGCTGCAGTTCTCTTTTCTTAAGTAAAATTTTTCTTCATCATCAATTTATTATTATTATTATTATTATTATCTCAATTTTTTCATTACAGTTGGAACTATTATATATATTTATAGTCGAACTCAGTATAGTAGAATTACAATACTCGACACATATGTTATCTGTAGTGCGCGTTGCTATAAACACTCGGGAGAATATTGAGTCACAAAAGTTCGTTATCGGATTATGTAAACAAATGTTATGAATTCTATTTATCTGCATTATTAAATGCTACTTGAAACCGGGTAATATAATAATTGGGCGATATAATACAATATAGAACAATGCAATCCGAATTCTATATATAATACAATATAATTTAATGTATTACAATGTAGAATATAATCGAAGTTTAAGTGTAGCTCGAACTGTTAATTCATTATTAACAACTCCAATGCTATGAATTATTGAGAATGTTTCGATTTAATGATTACATGTAATGTGTAATGTATTGGTATTGATAAAGCGAATATACTTCGATTTTAACACCTGTAGCATTGTGTCGTTGAACTATAATAGTATACTCAGTAATATGCTAGATAAAGTCATTTTATTTATTATTTACTCCCTTTAAATTTCTTAGTTCTTTAATTAGCATTAATATTTTAAGTTATTGATATTGTTAGAAATGGTTGCTTCTAAATTTCATGGGAAATCTGGTAAAAAGGTGAATAATTATATGTTATTTTTTAATTTTTAAAGTTAATTTATTAATGTAAAGAAAATAATTTTAATAAATAACTAATATTTTTTTTTATTGTCGTTAAGAAGAATTTTTTACAATAATTTATTTGTTAAAAAAATTTTTTTTTAATTATCAGATTATTTCTTTAATTTTCTATGAACTTTTTCTGATAATTTATTTGTTTAAAAAAATTCAGTAACTATTATCTATATTATTAAGAAAAAAAAAAAATTTTGGGTCCAGGATAGTCGTATGATAAAATCGGTTTTTTTTTACCGAAATTTAGTATCATTTCTCGAATGTTTTGACATAAATTTATACCATTTCAAGTTTTCATATCATACTTACCGAAAGTTAATTTAATATGATAAATATTTAAGCTACATTCGAGAATACTTTATCTCTAGATACATAATTAAGAAATGATCTTTTATCTTGTGAAATATTAATATTTTTAGATATAAGCTCATCTCAATGTTACACTCGTCTTTTCATTTGAGTACTTACATCAATTTTTCATATATTTTATATATTTATATATATATATATATATATATATATAAA